TTACACTGTATATTTTTGCTATGATTTTTAGAATGCTTTGCTCAATAAACTCAAATTTACCGGATTCAAAGAGTACCTAAGGAGACACACCTTCTGACGAAAAAATCAAATTTCTAAGTGATTTTGTTGCTGAGAAAATTTGAAGACACAGCGGACAAAACGTCATCGGGTTACGCTTGGACAAGCCGATATATCAGCATATGAACATACGTAGATTGTTTGACAAGCTTATTCATAAGAAGCGATAAGATTTCTCTCATTGCTTATCAAGACTCGTTGATATTCCGTTCTTTTTAGATATTTGATCAAACGTTTGTTAATGACAAAAAGGTTTATATGTTCTCACAACGCCAGATGGAATCAGATAAAAAGCACATCGTTGCCTATTCAGTTTACATTAAGCCGGAACATCAAAGTAAGACTACTAGTTTATTGCCTGTTTCTGAAAATAACAAATTATGATTTTAGAAGATGTTAACGAGACTGCTGGCAGCATTTCAGCAATTCCTTGTAATAAGACCGCCGATACTAGTGTATGAAGCCATGTCTCATTTTCTGAGAGACGAGCTTGTATAGCGTCTGCGGCTTTTATCTATTATGAGCAATCTTTGGTACGAGAGAAACCAAGTGACATTACTATAGATTTTTTAAAATACTGTTTCTCAAAAAACAGGATCTGTGTGACCCTGTTGGTTCATTCGCAACGTCAGCACAATATCGGACGACCTTATTCCAGTCTCACCCGCAGTTAAGAAATGTTCGTGACAGATACATGACAAGTGTGCCAGTGTATCGAACCACACATACAGTAGCCATTGGCTAGCATGTTTTCTAAATTCAAAATTCTATAAGAAAATGTTTGCTTATCTTGGACTCGAAGGTTACCATCCGGATTCATGTTAATGCTATGGGTCGGTACTGTTTCCTAATGCAGGCTGATGCAGACAGACATCGCTGTCTGGGCACTAGTAAGCACTTAAACATAAAATCTATATTGAAAGATATAACTTAAATTAACTTTTATTTTATAGTTTTATTCACCGATGCCGTCATTGAAACGTCACAACTCTCATCAAAGTGAACAACTTGATGGAAGTGAAATGTTGCTCAATAATGAGGTCTGGTCGAACAATACCCACGGTGACCAGAACGAAATCAATAGCGCCCATTTTAGAAAATGTAGTTGTTGCAGTCACGTTTTCCAAAATAAAAATTAACTTTATTCAATTTCAATCAATGTCCCCATCAAATTAACATACGCTTGACCCCAACCATTCGAGAATTCTTGACAAAAAAATTCTGTTGTTAAGAGATCTTTTTCTTTCTGTTTCAGTACTGTATAATTTTCTTCTGCTCATTCTTTTCTCTTAGTAAGAAACAAATAATGTTTTTCTTTTTATTTATCTTTTGCATTAAATAAGAATAGACCAATAATCATAATGACATGGTTTTTTCTTGCCTCTAAACAATATGCACTAAGTTATCAATTCATTCAGAAGAATAAAACCTATTTGAATGAACTTCTTTTCATCAAATTTAGACTCCAATCATAACATTCTCTCTATTTGATGGTCAATGGACTTTTTCGAAAAATTGAAAGAAACAAACTGATTGAGACTTTTTCGCTCATTTCTTATAGATTCATATTTTATATAATGGCCATCTCAGTCACTTAATAAAAGTTGAATGGCTTTGTGACTGATAAGATGCCCAGAACTAATGACTCATGCTTTCTATAGCTGATTTGAAAGAAATTGAAACACTTTGATTGTACAGGGTTGTCAAAACTGTTTTTCCAGGAGGCACAGCCTCAACGACAAATGATGTGAACATTGAATTTCATACCCAATGAAAGCCCGTCAAAACGGGGTTTAGAAGTAGATTTGGATGGTCCATAAGAGGAAGACGAGTTTTAGAATTGGGAAAAGTTTCAAAATTTTGAAAGTTATGATTATTTCAACTTCGCAATAGTAAACGAATAAAGTAGAAAAGAGCATGTATATCGTTGTAGAACTGAGAAGACGTTTTCGTATGATTCAAAAAACACTGTTTGAATGCTCATGACAATGATTCCTTCATTCTCTTATCACTTATTTGCGTTCTTTTTCGCATATACGTGCTAATAGCATCTTCATAACAAAAAGAACGGAGAAATAGGCGTTAGCCAGGGCCCATCGGGTCAAATTTGTTTATTTGCTGTTTTTTTTCACTTTCTACTGTCGCCATACGCCACCAACGTTACAAGAAAACTGTGTTCTCTCTTTGAACAAAGTAATTTTACTTAAAATATGAGCAAACACTATGTCTTTCGTTTTTATCTTCCATCAAGAGTTCAAAGTCGAACGTTTTATGATAAAGTAATTCTTCGCATTTTGTCAAAAAATATCTGAGCTTATGTTACAGTGTGACTTGGATAGCCATTGCTTTCTTTTCTTTTCTTCTGTTCTTCTATCGTAACTAGTTGACATACATACGATAAATGTTGGTTTTTTCCATGACATCATTCTCGGTATCGTTCATGCTGTCACGCTAGGTATTTTCCAAAGATGTATTTTCTGTTGTTTGTTCTCAGGGATGTTTCCAGTGTTCATTTCTGATTTTTCTCATGTCTCGATCCTATATATGATTGATATTTGGAAAATACATTTGGTTCCGTTTTCATTGTTCCACTGAACATTCACTCGATAACAGGTTACTTCTTCAGCTAGACATTTTCAGAACAGCATATCTGTGTGTTAGTTGAAGCTGATTAAATACATTTAATCTGTATGATGGGTGGAACTTACAATAATGAACAGCAGAGAACAATCGATCGAATAAAGTGTGTTGCTTTTCGTGAGGTTCGTGATGCTGGTGCAGCGTTCATCGCTCGACAATGAGTTGCAGAAAAAATCCATCGTTCGACCCGGTTTGTTACTCAATGGTGGGAGAAGTCAGTCGATAAATGTTTTGCTGATTATTCTGAATGTGACCGTAAGCTCAAATTATCACAGGATAGTCAAAATATCATTTTCAATGCGAGTGAGAAACAAAAAAAGTTCTTTCGTTGTAGGAAGAAAAATTGCAGAGAGACAGAAGGAGTATGTTACATGAAGCACGATCGATAAAAACTCATATCTCCGATCGTTTGTGGCTTTGTGACTGGCTAAAGAATTGGACCCAAGAAGACTTCTTGCATCTCGCACCAGCTGATGAATTTTTCGTATGAAGCGTTCGCAAGCCAAATCATCAAACTGACAGGATTTAGGCTAAATTTATTGAAGATATTGAACACGGGGAAAGATATCTCGAAATGATACAAAATCAAGCGTGCATTGGCATTTTCATTACTTTTATCGCGAAAAAAATGGTACTGGGTAATCAAAGATAAAGAAGAATCCTGGACAGGTCAATACTTTCGTGATATAATTTTGCTTTGATACGTCTTTCCTTTCCTCAAAAATGAAAAAAACGTGATTGATGTGAATGAAGTAACATTTGTTCACGATAAAGCCCCGCCCATGAAAGCAAATATGACCCAGTAATTGATCCAGAACAACGATATCAATTTTTGGGGTAGCAATATATGGCCCAGAAATTCACCTGATCTCAACGCAGTCGAGCATATTTGATGGATAATCAAGGATGAAGTTGAGAAAAGAATGTCATCTAAGACTGGGCATAATCACTATCGTGAAGAAACATTGAAAAGTCACATATGCGATGTCTTAGAAAACAGGAAAACAAATGCTGAACTTGTTGAAAATCTGTTATGTTCCTATCCATCTCGACTGCAAGCTATCAAAAAAGCTAACGGTCAGCATACGAATTATTGATTGTGTTTATTAAATTTTATTAAAAATAAACATTAGTTTGATATATCCATCATTCTTTAACTGATTCTTCTCACGGTTCTATCTTCTGAAATAGCATTTTATCAGTAGCGTGTTCTTCAAATTTTGTGGATTTCTGTAATCCTATAACTCGTCGTTTCTCATGAACCATCCAAATCTAGTCCTAAACTCTGTTTTTGACGAGCTTTCATTTGGTATAAAATTCAATGTTCATATCATTTGTTGTTGAGGCTGTACCCCGCCCCCATAGAAAAACATTTTGGCAATTCTATAGTTTCAAACTAGAACTTCTACCCTATCGATTTACAAGAAAAGTTTTCGTTTTGAAAAATAGTTATTCTTTGTACGCTAAGTGTTTTCTGAAAAGACGTCTTTAGTAAAGTTGATTGCCATATTTTTTTCACTAATCCATATCGATGAAATTTTAAGAAGATGCGTTTCTATATTTCAGACATGAACTCAGTTAGCGCAAATACTTCTCAACTGCGATACAGGTTTTCCACGTCTTGTTTATCGCCGAAGCACTTTGAGAGAAAAATAAAGACATATTTTGAGTCAGCGTGAAGCATTACATCGATCGATGTATTATTTATCAATTTCTAAAATAAAATCTTTTATCAGACGAATTTAACATAAGGGTCCCGTCAGAGGATTTTCATCGGAAATGGTTTTTTTTTTCAAAGTTTCGCCTTTTTTAATCAATCTTATTTTTGAGTACAAAAATCTAATGTTTCTATGAAAAAAAAGTCGTTTTTGGCGGAAAAAGCCATGTCTACATCTTTGACAGAAATTGTCCACTGTTTCATATACTGTATTTGCCGTTGTTGAACCTATCGTGCTATTGCTTGTTTCAATTTTTGTTATGTTTATAAAAGAATAATAATTCAAGTTGATCAACTGATGTTTATTTCAATCACAAGAGCAACAAAATAATCGGCTAAGGTCAAAGATGAAACAAGAAACTCGACTTTTGTATAAGTGTCAAACTTTGACTGCTATCGTAATTTACTGAATGACAATTATCAAGTTTTTCTTTTTGTTTTCAAAATGCTCTCTACTTTTTACAGTTATACCTCTTAATATTGTTCATTTTATTTTCATCATTTTAAAAATACATAAATCAATCACATATCCGAATCACAACAAATATAAAAAAGCTAATTAAAATTATTCATATGATGTTGTTTTATCAAGTACAATTTTTCCAATATTTTTCTTACAAAGTTCACTAAGAAGGCCAATACTCTCGATAATCTACAACAAAAAAAGTAAAAGATAAAAGCATGAGATTAATTCAAACAATTTAGATTAACCTCAAGTATATTATCAAATAATATTTTAGCTTCATTTTCTGCTCTTGTTGAACATAATTGCATATACAATGCATACATATAACAATGTTTAATAATATGTATATTTTCTCGATCTTGTAATTGTTGATCTGGTTGACAAATGACTAAAGTCATCATAAGACTATGTTCAACTTGTGTTACATTCAATGCATGAAGACGTTTAGAAAATTCATGTAAAGCATCAGTAGTTTTATTTCCTATAAATATATTCATAAAATAACGTGTATATTGTAATCCATTAGGTGTCATTATATAAGTTTCATTTTTATAAAATAATGGATAGTTTAACACCTTGAATTAGAAAATTATTGATTGAATTTATAGAAATCAAACTTACTATCCAAAAATCAAATACTCGATTATTTAGAACTTGAATCAAATCAATTAAATTTAATTCATTAAGACCAGGCGTCTAAAAATAGAAAAACTTATTAAATCATGAAGTAATAAATTTATTAAAAATGCAATCTCAGAATCAAATTTGAAGCAGATTTGGATTTGTGTCTAACCAATGAGAATTTTTTTCATTTCTTCCAATTTTTTTTCATTATTATGAGAGATCAACAGGTATCAAAATTGTTTCGAGGTCATAAGTTCCCAATCTAAAAGAATTTTCGTTCTTACCTAGTGCTGTTTCAGTGTTTGATTTATTTTTGCTCATCAATTCCCTTAAACATGCCTACTTTCCCAAATTCTGACTACCTCAACACGCTTCTAATAAGTTTATTTTTAATTTGGATCTGAGAAACTGTTTTAACAAATCTTATGATATAATCTAAACTTTTAAATGGAAAAGTGTCAATCTCTAATAGTTATTTTCTCAATGAATAGATACGTTTCAAATGAATGAAATCTAATCTTGGAGAAGATTCATAATTTAGCAAGCTAAATTATAAATCTATTCGATCCATTTTTATTGGAGGTTAATGATAGCAAGATTAAGTATTTCGTAGTATGTTTTATCACTTTTTTTGATAGGACAAATTCATTCGGTAGAAAATTTTTAGATTCCGATAGATTCTAATGATAAATCACACGAAAAATATTCATTTAGTTTCTATGGATAAGTAATTTATTCTTATAATTACTGTTACTATTCTTAAATTTACTCTAATCTTTTCTTGTAATTCTGCTTAATAAAATATAAATTGCTTTTATCTAGACTAAATTCCAATTAAAGGCTGTTTTTTTGAACTCAAAAATAAAATGTTTTATTTACATCTTGCACAAAACCAATTATTTCATTAATGTGTACTGCTATACCAACTTGAACATCATTCCACATTTGTTCATATGTTATATTACTATCTGAATAATTCGTAATCTTGAATGAAAAACTATATTTATTTATTTATTCAATAAACTTCATAATACTTACGCCATGTTTAATTAATTCAAACATTCGTTTAATATGTATTTGTACTCTTTTTGTATGTTTTAAATAAGATTGAAGTACTTTCCATCGTATATAACGAAAAAATGACATTATTTCAAAATCAAATTCAAAAATTAGAAATGGTTGACAAAGTTTTGGTAAAAGATATTTCATTATTTGAAGAATATTTTTTGAGTACTGTACATCACAATTAAAATTATAATCAATTAAAGTGTTTTCATTTATATTTGATATATATTTTGATACAGTCATTTTATTATTTTCTAATGATGTATGTGTTGATAAATCATCATCGAGTTTAATTGAATTTGTCCAAGTTTCTGATAATTTTAATGAATACAGAACTGTTGGTAAACGAAGAAATGATAAATTATACTTAAAATTATTTGATAATGATATTGTTAATTCAATCAAATCACTAGAACGAAATGATTCTTTTGAAGACTGTTGAATTTCTAAATGAAAAAAAAACGCACATTTGAACTTAAGTCCAATATAATGAAATAATAAGATCTTCTTTTTGAAAAATTTTATTTTATTTTAATATTATTTACCCAAAGAATCGACAAGCATATTTGGACTTCTCTCGTTTGATAACTGTGTATTATCATTAACACTACGTCTTGTAGATGAAGATGATATCGATTTAGTCATTAAATTCGATGAATTCCAATCAGAATGAGGTGAAAGTATCATAACTTCCATATTTTCATCTTCAATTTCATGATTTGTATTTTTCTCTTGAAAATTTCTATGGTAACGTAATGCTTTTTCTTTGATTTTCTTTGGTATTCGACCCATTTTTACACTATCCATTGACATACCTTGTTTAATACATCGATTAAATCGGCATGATTTACATCGATTACGTGTGCCTGCGCTAACTATACATTTATTACCAAACAAACATTGATGGGAAACATCTCGTGTAATTGATCGTTTGAAAAAGCCCTAAAAACGTATTATTCTTATAGATAAAACAGTAGAGACGAAACATACCTTACATCCTTCACATGTAATTACACCATAATGAACTCCAGTAGCAATATCATGACAGATGCGACTAGCAAAAAAAAAACATGTATGTATTTAACGAAGATCAACATAATATGCAGATATATTAAGTTGTAAATGATCTCATTTTTATTTCGAATTTTGTTGTTCGAGTTCTGAATAACTTACCATTTTCCAAATGGAAAAGATTCTGACTTTTTTATTGATTTATTATCAGAGATAAATAATAATTCTTCATATTGGTTTAGTGAACTAATTTGTTCTTCTTTTTGTTTTGATTGACAATAAGGTATTGATATTTGTGTCGATGAAAAATTCATTGTCATTTTGATGAAAATTTATAATAAGTAACGTTATAAACGTGGGTACATTAACTCAAACATATTAAAGTGGCTGATTTATAGCGAAATATGGTGTTGTTCTGTTGCATTATATTCTTTTCCTAACATTAAAAGAAGCCATTAGTCTAAGACGATAAAGGCGTAAAAGAAAAGAAAAGCAAAAAAAGCAAAAAAAGAAAACTCTGGTATGGCAATAATGTCAATATGTTCACGAAACAATTGGGTTTCTGCTCTCTTTTATTTTATTGCGATTATTTGATGAAATGCTTGCGCAAGTTACATGAAAAAAAGAACTCAGCATGCATTTCTCACTACAAAAATCCGACATGGTTAAAATTTATAATAATAATGTTGTGTTTGAAACTTTTTGTATCATAATTGTGTCTTCCTTCCTATTATAATGTCATACATTAGATTAGTGAGAGATTTTAACTATGCGTTGCTTATATAAAGCTCTCTTATTTTGAGAAAAAAAAAAAGAAAAGAAAAAAGTTATAGCTCATTTCATTAGATACGCCCACAATCCGGAATAAGAAAATTTTTGAAAGACAATGCAAAAAAATTTATGTTGCATGTGTAGCATCGACATCTAAACCTGCAGATTGTTATGAAAATCAAAGAATTTACAGAATTTAAGCGATTAAAAATATTTCTGGAAGTCTTGCATGTGCATTGTATGAATCTATCACAAAGCTCACTAATTCTATGCGGGTAGTTTCATTTTGATAGAATAGCGTGATATTGTCTATCGCATCGTCATGCAACATGATACTATCACAAGATTTTAAACTTTACATTGATCTATGGTGATGTGCTTAGACGATTATACAGATCATCTTTGCCCTTTGATTAAATTAAATTTTCTTGAACTATTTCTTTTCCTTTACATTTCATAAATTTCTTAAATAGTCTTCAATTTCAAAGTATTGGATTGTGAGTTTTGCACTTAACATATCATTGATAAATTCTATTGCTATTTCTAAAGATAGTTTGAAATTATTTATTTACGTAGCTATCGCATCAAACAAGTCAAAAATTTAATTTTCTTGTTGTATTTAAGAAATTTTCTGTTTTAGTCTATGGTTTGATTTGTCGTGTTTAATAAGTTTTACCAAACGAAAAGATGAGAATAACATGTTAATTTGTTAGAATATTGATATTCCAAAAAAATTACATTGTCACAAAAACAAATACACCGTAAATTAATATCTATCGTGTAGAGTTTTAACTAATGACCTAGTTGATCATCAAATATTTGATTGTAATTATGTTATCAACATCCTGTAGAAAAAACAAACGTTGAGTAAGTATTAAAAGTGATAAATATATAAATTTTCACATTTTACTTTTCTTTATTTGATACTGATTATGTCAAACATTACCGATTTGACAGAAACACAATATGATCGTGCTCTCAGATATATTTCATCAAGCTCACTGAAAAATGTGATAAATGATTCTCCTCGTTATGCACTCATATTTTTTATTGATGCAAGCAATTTAGTATTTGCTTCTATACTAGATAAATAGAAAGAAATTGAGCAACGGATTCAAGTATTTCTTGCTGACAGTCAATTTTGTACTTTTGATAGTCTTTCAAGTAGTTGTTCTACATATAGAATGAAGTTATCTATCAAACGGTACTATTTTCAATAAGGGTCGTCGAATACACGCACAAAAAAGGACGTTTCGGACCATAATAGTGACATTTTGAATGTAAACCTTGAGCGGATTTGCCTGACAACTTTTGTTGGATCTATAAATGATTATGTTAAATGCGGAATTTCATTCTTTATGGAAAAGATGTTAGTTTTACTGCAAGTTGTCGAACAAATATGATCCTTATCAGGATGTCCTCAATGTTGATTTTAAATGTACCCATTGACTATACTATTAACAAGTTTGTGTACGTGAAGCTTTATTAAAACTTCCGGAATGCTGAACGTTAATTTTCTTTTTGAATGACAATAGACTCTTTTAAGACACTATGGTACTCAATAAAGTTGTTTTTTTCATTTTGTATACATTAGTTGAATGACTTCCTCTAATAATTATATAAATGATGTTTTAAAGAGCATAAAATTTGTTTCCTATAAATGAATTAAGATCTCCCCCCTCCTCGCCCTCAAAAACTGATCTTAGCCCATGTATGTTCAAATGGTATGAAATTTTCAGCTCGATGCTATGATGCTCGACAGCTATATTCACCAAACAAGGGTCAAAAATAGCAATTTTAGCAAACTAGATTTCTTTGTCAAGGCTCGTATAACATATTTATTTATTTATTTTGTTTGAAAGAGCATGCCAAGATGCAGCGCACCAAAGAGTCATTTTTTTTAAATACTTATTTTTTAAACGAAGAAAAGGGATGACAAACTCAATGACTCAAAAAACCCTAAAAAATGGCGTCGTTTCTAGAGGCATTCTCGTATATAATAATAAAAAGCTTATTTCAAAAATAGAACTCTTTGATGAACTGCATCTTGACATGCTGTGTCTAACAAAAAAAAATTAGAGGTCTTATACTAGCCTGAAAGGAGAATTCTTGCTTGCGCGTTTGAGAAAGCATAAACTGAGAAAAAAAGAACAAGATTTTCGTTCTCTTATGAAAACAGTTTATTTTTCGAATAGGAAATGACAGAAACATATATAAATTTTTTGGAAAAAAACAGATGCCGAGTAAAAAATTTTGCTGTTTATGAGAGATCTGAAGATAGACTATCCTCCCATACATTTATCTCAATTTCTGCCGAAAATTGACTGTATTTGAGAGGGGGGGGGGGAGGGTTTAATGAATTATATGAAGGTTATAATTAAATTGATATTGAATTATTTATTTATTTATTATTTGAAAACATTTCGGAGAAATTTTTGATCTCCATCATCAATTTGTTTTTACTTTTATCCGATACTTAAACCGGATGTGTTACTATTTATATATCTTACTATTTGTCTTTTTTTTTTCATTTTTTTCTTTTTTGCTAATAGTGGAACGGAAGATGAGAACAAGTAAGTTTAATTATCCATTATTATCGTCTTGTCAGTCGATTCCACTATTAGAAAAAGAAAAGATGATGAAGAGAAAAAAAAAGAAAAACAAATATATATGGAAATAGTCAAATATATTCTTAAAGTGTCACGTAAAAGAGAGAAAGTACTGACAAAAGAGATAGATACTTCTCTGAAGCATTTTTAAATAACAAATAAATAAATATAAATTCAACAACAATTTCATTACTATTCTAATACAATCCATTAATTAATTGATAGAAAGTAAATTTTAATTCATTATAAACATTAAAGATTCATCATATGCTATATATTGTCTATGATTTTCATAATTATATCAATTGTTGACATATATTCTATGCGTCTAAACGTTTATCTGTATGTCAAGATTGGTGTCAGATTTTCATGTGGCTAAATATTTTAACTTTGACGAAGATTTGAGTACAAAAGAGTAATAATATATCATACTTTATTAAAGATATACATTAATAGACATGCAAAGCAGAATCAGACATTTGAGTGCAATAAATGAGAAAAAGTGTGTTATAGGAAACTCTTAGTATACATGCACGGTAAAAATAAAAGCGTTTTGACATAGAGCATGCAGGTGTGATATAAAGAGTAATACGGTTAAGTAGTACAAATGCAAAATAAAACTAAAGAAGTATGATATTTCAAAGTATTTATATAGATAGAATTGCAGAAGTATTAGTAATTTGCATGTCAAACACTAGCAATAAGTAATATTAAAATTAGACATTAAGAAGAAGAGTATCGCTTTTGAGGTGTATTTAATAATGTCAGAGAGTTCTACATATAAAAAAAAAACGAGACAGAATTTGATCTTCTTGTCTTGAAATTTCTCTGAAATTCACAATATGTAAACGATAAAAATAGTCTTTAGATGTCCATAATACATAAAACATTCTTGAGAGAATAACTGATAGAGGAACCGGAGAGTTGACAGCACATTTCTTAGAGATGATGGAGCAAATTAGATATGTTATAGATAACAAGAGCAAGTGATATGTCAAAGTACAACGATCTACGAAACGAAAACTTCATGTCGGTTTTGACTCTGAACATCGTCATCTGACATATCTCTTGTGTACGTCTTATTTTAATGTGCTTCAGATGAAAAACAAAGCATTCTAATATTGAGGCACGCTTCACTTTTATTTTACCATTTTCTATAGATCAGATAATGATCATAAATTCGTCTGAATTATCAATAATAGTAAGCTACTCTCAATGTGTCACGCTTATTGAAAAGAAAGGAAATAACAAAAAGTAAAGTTAGTGTGAGTTCAAACATCAATCGTATGTTCATATCTTTTTGTGTTGGTATCATCGCATCAGCAATCACTCGATGAAATAACTTGCCGAGAAGACCTTTTTGCACTGATTTTACTTCAATTGGTTTCATTTTAATCCACAATATTCAAAAATTGGTGATTGAAACTAAAGCTGATCTAATTTCAAGCAGTTCGATTTATCCATACGCCATTCAGCACATCCAACGTGAAGGCTATTTTAGGTCCAGATACGAATATCAACAAAATATCTCGAATTTACAGCTAATTTTCCTGACGTTAGCTTAACAGTAAAAGTAACAAGAAATACCAGTAGAAGTTTTGATTTTAACCATTTCATGATGTCTTTCATCGGTTTCAATATCTTCAACAGTTCGTGCTCAAAAGTCGATTATTCTGATAACTTCAGTTGGGGACGACGACTCAAACATACTTTATTAGGTGAGTACGCGATGAAAAAGGTCCTCTTGGATATAATTTTTTGATTAGTCTTAGAATAACATGGATAAGGGTTAATCCTTCTGGATGACAGTAATTATCAATTGCTTTTGGAACGATGTGCTCTTTTTACTTTGTTGCCATGTCTTGAGCTATAACATGATACTTTTTCTCGCAACGACCACTCAATTTGAAGATCATGTCTCTATTCACTGTTGATATCTCGAATTCAGAACCAGTTCTCAAATAATTAGCAAAACATTTCTCACCTGATTTTGTTTTCACCATTCAATAATAAATCGAGTCGTACGAGTAACTTTCTTCACAACACATTATCTTTCATTAAGTTTTGCAATAGTATCACGAGCTTTACGAATAGTAATGCCCTTGATTCTGTCGATAATTTTCTGTTGTTTAGTGTCATTAGAGCTAGCCATTTTCAAGGAATCGAACTCTATTGACCCATCCGATAGATAAATTCTTATATATATATATATATATGTCATATACGTATCGTTGGTCTTAGATATTATACCATAAACTATTTAAATTTTTCTGCTCTTGAACTTTCTAACAGAGCAACAATTATGCTAATCGTAGGCATTTATGATTACTATGGACTATTATCCTATAATACAAACAAAAGGATAGACGTTCCTCTACAGTTAATACTGTGTGAAAAGAGCGGTAGGAAAAAGAGGGCGCATTATGACTAAGTGATTCACAGTAAATAGAGGTGAGCGCTGCTCTATCCTTTCTATTGTTACGCCGATCTATTATCATTTATATCTCCAAGCTGGCAGAGATGAAAAGACAACAGAACGATACGCTGTCCTATTTGTTTGTACAAAATGCTATACTTATCGAGAAGTCGACATGAAGAACTATTCAAAAACCGTATTGTTTACTACTGGTAAATACCACGTTAAACGAGCTTTCGTTTGATATAAAATCTATCGCTTATACGATTTGAAATCATAGCATAATCTTCTTTCCCTTACTCTCCTCTGTAAATTCAATTATAAAGTCTTCTTGGATATTAAAATATTCTATCTCTGCAATATTTTGATCATATTTATAGTCAAATAATTGGGACTTTAAATATTTCTTTTGTAAGACTAATGATACAAAACAGTGTCTTTCGTTAACGTTTTACATCAAAATCATAAATCATAAGTATGTATACATGCAATTTAAATACATATGAGATAGAATCCATAGTTTGAAAAAACACAAATCCTAATCAAATATTGGCAAATTCCTCTTTTTATTGTTCACATTATTCAATCCATAGTTATCTTGTTAAAGGACTTTGATAAATCCTGTTGTTACAAAAGAAACAGTTTTAAATTAAATTGAATGAGTATTTATGGATCATTGACAATGTACATATAACTAGAGGTGTAAGCCGTACAGCTGAGCTACCGCCGCTGCCGATCTTTTTGAAAAATAAACCACCGCCGCCACGAAATCGTAGACAATTTTAAGAAATTTTTAGCAGCCGCCGCCATTGACATCGATATATATGCGATCAATCATTTTTTCGTCTTTTAAGAGCAAATACTTTTTTTTTTGGCTGTCAAAGCCGCCGCCGATGCAGAAAAACATTAAGTCTAGTAGGCGCACCCGCTATGGAAAAAAAATTTGACTATCAAAGCCGTCGCTGTTTGACAATTCGACTTACACCTCTACATATGACTATATGCATGGTGCCTATTAGATTAAAAATTAAACTAGAAGAAATTATACTAGATTTTCTCATTCAATTTTATTAAAATATATGAATATATAAGCCAAGTCACAATCAATCAAAAACCAGTGCTCACTGATAGCATTGTTCTCCAAGTGATGGTTTATAACATCGTATGCCACATGGTTGATATCCAAACCCGCAGACAAGCCCATTATTGAAACACTGTTCACCTATCGATGGTTTATAACATCGTGTGCCACATGGTTGATATCCAAACCCGCAGATAAGCCCATTATTGAAACACTGTTCACCTATTGATGGTTTATAACATCGTGTGCCACATGGTTGATAACCAAACCCGCAGACAATTGATGCTCCCCGTGCCGAATGAATTATCACTATTACTGAGAGTAATGTACCGATCAGAAGTAAATTTCTCGAATTCATCTAAATATTTTGTTACAGCGTTGTACAAAAAAATGTGATATGTTAGTAACTTTACTTGTATTTATACTATTAAGAATGACTAATAGAGAGAGATGTATGCATTAACTATATGATTCAACTATTACATCATAAGAGGAAGTATTTTGATGCAGTTCGATTACAATCGAGAAGGACTGTCACATAAATATAATAAAACACAGCCATGCATAACCAATTAGTTACTTGCAAAAGAAACTAAGTCATGCTTTCCAACTATAACACGCTCATCAGAATGTTTCGACGCAATATGATTTTTGATTATATCAGTATATAGTGCAATTTACATTTTATTGTATGGTAAAAAGGTTGATGAATTAGTAAACATAATTTATTTTCTTTCTTGTTATGCTAAACTAGTTTACGAATGACTTTCACAAGTCTTGAGAGAAATAATGATGTAACGTTTTTCTACTTTTTTGACAATCTATTTCTTCTTTTACAAAATATTTTAACATCAATATGTAACAAGTCAGTAGAAATAATACACTGGATGAATAATTCATTTGCTATCACTATTAAAATTGTGTACGAAAGAAGAAAAGAGAAAAAGAAATAGATTATCGAAAAAGGTCTATTTCTTGTAAAAAATGTGTATAAACAGTATGTGAATGCAACACTATTCTAATAGTTTGTTTTGTTTGAAGAAGTTGTTTTTCAAACAATGAAACGTCGTACTATTATTTTTCTAAAGATTTGTCAAAATAATAGATATTGAGAAAATACACTTTAGCCTACTCTGAGATCCGTTTCACTAAGCACTTATACAAATCGATAGAGTTTGCGATATTGAGTCCATCGCGTTCCACTCTGAGCTAGTTTTATGCAACCGGCTCGGGTAGTCGACATTTGACCCGGCAATATATGAAATCTCAACGTTTCGAAATATTTTTACTTTTTCACACTGCTATATATATAAAAGCATAGGAATGATAACTGGTTCGATCATGATAGAACAATTTATTGCACTTGAAAATAGATCACAGAAGTGGAAAGCAATATTGTTTTACTGAGAGAATTTGCTTATAGTGAGAATTCATCAATAGATAATGAGGAGTCATAGGACGAAGTAATTGAATGCATGGTAAGGAAAATAAATAATCAAAATAGTGAACATATATTATCCTGATGGAAAACACATTCATGTATGTACTCACAATAATAACATTTGACATCAACACTGAGTTTCATTCCAGTGTAATGAGCAACAAGCACATGTATACTTAGTGAAATTGATCGAATTTTCGAAGCAGAAAGATACTAAGTGAATCCTGAATTACTTGCTTTTTTGTAGAATTTAAGATGGTCTCTTCTTTTTCTTGGTGTTTTAGAGAAGAAATTAAATAGTATACTTTTCCGTTAAAGTAGAAGTTTGAAAACTATACTATGACTGTCAAAGCATCTACCGAATGTTGATTAGCTCCGATCACGAAAAATCGTATCAGTGCAAGACACTACTCTGAATCATTTGGAAAACAAAAATTACGACTGAAAATGTAGGTAATTTTTCCCCTTGCCCTCTCTGATCTCCTTTTATGCACGGTGAGTCGATTCAAATTTTGAAATTGGTTGTTTAAAAAACAAGAAATCTATTGAAAACACTTTTCAATATACTTGAACTTCTCTGAAGTGAAATTACATTCATAATTACCATTACCACTCAACGTGATTTTTTTCGCATCATAATAGTATCTCTCGATTGAAAATACTATTGACTCGCACTGGTTATTGAACTTTCTCGTCTTTCTACTGCTCTTTTCTTTCTTTTTCTTGTAGAATCGCTTGACTGGTTTAATATTATAATAGCACGAACACAAAATGGATTCTTTTTGTTTACATTTATATGCGGGCCTCGAATAGTTTGATAAAGATACTGATTTAAGTGGTCAGTATAATGCACAAATGATCAATACTAGAATCATTAGTATTTAATGGCAAAATTATTAGTTTATTATATATAAATATCAAAGAAAAAGAATTTAAATAAATAAAAAAGTACAGAAATATAGAAGAAATAAAATAAGAACATAAAATAGAAATTTAAATAATCAAAATAGAAAAGAAGATGAAAATTAAATTATTGCAGTAGTAAAGTAATTTTAGTCTTTTTTTGATCTACCACTTTTTCTTTTCTCACCTAGCGGAATTGCCTTTGCTGTTGGTGGCAGTCTAAAATATTTCAGACAAATAGCCATACCCGTAACGTGCTTGCACATGTAGCTCTCTTATCTGCATGACCAAGCGTTACGGAACTTAATTTTTTTTTTACATTGTAACATATTTTTCATCAATAGCAAAAGTAAAGTCTTGCAAATTTTTATTATATAGATGGAAGTCATTTAGATCTACAATCAAAAACAAATGAAATTTATTTTCCTTTAGGTGATACTGAGCTGTTTAGACAACAACACCGTTACAAAATTTCAACATATTGAATAGTTTTTTTTCAATGAAGTTTTGAATTTAACATTTTAATACAAAATGCAACGACATACCAATAAAGTTTCTATATAAAAGTTGTTAAGGTTTTAGCAAGTTTTCCGAATATCAGGTCATTTCTAAGCAAGCATACCTACATCGAATAACAAACTGACAAGAGTAGTCATTACGGAATTCTATCCATTTTCCGAAAATCATAGTTTGGATGAGGATGGAAAGAAAAAATAGTAAAAAACAATCAGACTTTTTACTAGAATCTAATGAAAAAAAAATTCCACTTTTTCGATCCGAGAAAATTAAATTAGAATCTTTCATTAACTAAATACTCTATTTTCTTCAAAACTCAATGTTAATTCCAAATATGTACGCACTTAGAATCGAAAACAATGCAAAACGCTTTATGGTCTGAAAAACACTTCAAATTTCGAAAACTAAATGTAACAAAGTTAAAAATGGATGTGATCGGTGGAGCTTTTTGTTTTGTTTCTAGAGATGTCGTTTTTTTATTGCGAAAACTACCAAATATAATCAAATTTCGTGATGGAAGTTTTATTAAAACTAGAGATGACATTTGTAAGGATTATCATGGTTCAAATATATCTAAAATTTATACGAAAGTCATCTATTAAAAGGATAGTTCTTAGTCTATCGATAAATATTTTATTGATGAATTTGTTTTTTCGAACAGCCGACACATGATTAAAGAAGTATTTCATCATCATGTTTTGCACAGATTTTCAAGTTAGGCTCTGTAAGAAAATTTTCGCTCGTCTAGAGTATTGAATGATGTTCATGAGTAGAAACACTTCCATTTCAAATGCTATCGATCGTGCTACTTTCAATGGTATACGTAACTTTCTTCACTTTTAGGTTCGAACTTTCCGTATGTATCAGTGACCAATAACTAGCCATGCCTTATAATTATGACTGAAATCTTAGTAGAGATATCAACAAAAATAAGACCACTTCAAAATGATTTTTCGACACAAATTCGATATATTCTTTTATTAGTTTGCTTTAATTCGTCATATGCTCTCATGAGACTATCTGTTGTGATATTTCTAACAAAGAACGCACATTGACATACAAAAAATGCATGCATAACACAAATTTCCTTTATGTATTGCTTTTTTTGGTTAATGTATTTGAATTTTTCTTACGTGAAACTCAACATTTTTTGAGTAGCATACGTAAGTATTACTTATTTTTCTGATCGCCATCTAACATACGATAGAGATCGACTCAAAGAGAATTTTTTAATTTATAGACAAAAAAAATGCCTGTAAAAAATTTTTATGCAATAAAAATTCTGCACATATCTTAGGTTTTCTTTAATTCAATTTCTTAATGGCACTTATACACTCATCAATCATAAATAAGATATATAAAGAGAAAATGGAAACTGACACATTCCTACAATAAATTAATTTCTTTATTAAAGAGACGGAAAATAAAAAGAAATATAAAGAAGAAAAAAGGTTATAATAATAAAAAAAGAAAGGTGATGGTTCTTATGAGTATTACTCATACATTGTGTTTTCCAAAGATGAAAATCTGTTTATATGTTAAAATGTATTGTTCATCGAAAGAATATTCAGTTATTTATATATGTACATATGCTTGAGCTTTTATTAAGAACAAAGAACTAATATTTCTCATCGTACTCTACAATAAATCGATAATGAAAAACTAGAAATTGAACTACAATGTAAATAAAGTATGGTGAAGGTGATAAACAAGCATAATACTAATTTTTTTTTCTTGTTAAATTTTAATTTCTCCAAATAAATTGAAAATATCATAAAAACTATTTTTCTAATTGCAGATCAGCAGAAGTTTTGTTGAAATTTTAAAAAAAAGAAAGTGCTGCATAATTCATTGCATGAAAATAATTTACTAAAATGGTTACCTCAAATATCATCTTATTTATAATTTTTCTAAATTGAGCACAATACTTTTTACTAACTTATTTTATTTATAAGCGTTATTTTTA